ATCCGTAACTATACGTGACATCACTTAATTTAGAGAGCTAGGCAACGCCTGTGCAGGTTTGAGTAGCTTTTTAATCCGGAAACGTGAGGATGATCGTCAATTAGCATGACTGATAGAAACCAACACAATAAAATTGTCTGTGGACGTAAGCTAGGTTTACATCCTGCAGCCAAATTAATTCGATACTACATGTAAAGGCAGCGCGTCAGACGAAGCCGACGGAAGAACTTTTGTCGGTCTAGGCTGTGAATCTTGGACCTTAGAAGATGAGGAATTTAACTGTACATTTCCACATGCGCAAGGATGTTAGTTTGACAGCCACAGTGCCGTTGCCTTCCAGCAGTGATTTGGGATCTGCCTTGTGTTCATATAAGTAAAAAGGAACTAAAAATGGGATTTCGTAAAGGATTGCAGGGATGACCTTCACTGAGTTCAATCATTGGCTGACGTTTTAACGGTTAATCACTTAACCTTCGGTGCCAGCTTTGCGAATATGGACTAGTCAGTGTAATGTTGGCATGGATTTCGCCATTTGAAACCGGCGCTCTGAGCAGGAGTTTCTGTTTTCTTTTGAAGTTTCATTCTCGGACCACCGCAGGCGGCTACATAATAATGAATCATAGGTAATGTAATAGTGTGCCAACAAGCCCATCGGTGCTGATTTATGACTTTGATTCGTCAAGCGCCACCCATACTCCAGCTCCAGGTCAGATCCATGGGTTTATATTCAAGAATATAGTGCACAAGAATGCCAGGGATTAGGCACATTATACTAATCTTCGGTTTGCCGTCTGTGCCGAAGTTAGAACCATGTACGAGTACTTTGAGAAAACAATTTATTTCGACTGAGTGTGACTTGAAGACATCTCCGGTAGAGAGCAGTCATTTAATAAAAGAAAACAATGTGGTTTCTGGCATTTGCGTTCGGACCATACTTTGAAGGTCCTCCTCTAAACGAGTGAGAAAATAAACGGTTGCAATAAAATAACTTGCAGACGGAACTTCATAGCCCATCAGCCGGTTTTTACTGTGATGACTAAATACCGTCAGCTGTGGTGGGAGTCTCTTCCCAAGCGGACTTAGAAACAAACTTTAGACTTATATGGGTAACTCCCACAGATATATACCGAATGCAACTGGGGATAAGTACTATAGCAATTTGATCTACAGGAAGGGGGATGAAAAGTTGACCACAGTAATCTAGACTGTCCCAGCAATAATCTAGGTGACGTATCTAATGCAGTGCTCACCTAAAGTCTTAAGTATGTTTTTGATGCGGAATCATTTCTTGAATAGGTTCGCACCGTAAAGCACAATTCCGAGAAATTTCAGTCACCTCAGAAAGTCGGCTTTTGAAAGATATTTTTTTCAATCGTCCTGAAAACTGCAGTCGGTAAAAAAATGGCTACCTAAGGAGCGCTAATTTTTCACATTGATTTCCAATGTCCTGATGACTTCAGATGAAGTGTATAAAAAACAAGGAAGACATACATTTTCTTGTCCCATTTGGTATATATATGTACATCTTTTTGTATTGTATGCTTGAAGGAATACATTTTTTATTCCTCACTAATTTTGAACACGACCTGCTGTTACGCTTGCATTCACGGTTTCCACTCTAAAAGCTGGATAAATTATATGCAAATAAAATCGTATAATGCTGTGAAATATTAGGATGCTGTCATATAGGATCAAAATTTTTTATTGAATGCGGAAATGTTCTATGCTTTGCAAGCCCTATTAATAAATGGACAGATAGTCTTATAGTCTTAAAGACCTAATAAAAAGAAATTTAAAAAAATCGAAAACCGCCCCTGTATTGCATGTATGTAGAATACGAAGAAAACGCAAGTCTCTACCAAATGAGTACAGGACGGAGTATTTTTGTATAGATTTTCTATGAACTACATTTTTTTATTTCTAATGGCAGGGAAAATAAATGTGAAAAATCATTCCATCTGGTAATCATTTTCTACCGACTGCTTTTTTTCAGTAGTGACCCAAAAAGAATCCATTCTAACGGCGGAATTTTTGTTTTGACTAAAATATTTTAGGATTATTCTGCACGATTATTGTCGTTATAATCCTACTTTTCAATATGAGGACATTTTGGTTAGAATTTGGTTAATATTTTCATTGCAAGTAAGCCTGAATTCTTATTATACATGGTGAAACTTTTGGGAGCATCAGAAAAGCTGAAATCTATTTGTGGGGTGAGTTTGTGCTTAACGGTACTCACGTAGTAAAAATTGCAGACGCCAAGTTAAAAGGCAATACGAACCAGTTGATTCGATGGAGACAGGCAACTCGGCTAAAACTTCAGTTGTGAACGAGAGATAATGGGTGGCCCAAAAATGTATACACATCTTACCTATTCTTAAAATTGGTGTTAATCATAATTTTATTATTAAATAAATTTAAAGGCATTTAAAACTATCATTTATTCTTTTTTTCACTGAATGTCCTCAAAGTGACGTCCATTTTGATCATGACACTACTGACAACGCAAAGCAATGGAATCGCAGATTTAGTTAATTTAGTTGACCCAATTGTGAAAACCAATTTAATAATTACGTTAGCCTAGTAGTCATTCTGGTGGATTCTAGATGATT